TCGGGGCGGGAAGCGCCATGACGGTACTTGTCAAAGAGCTGCAGGGCGTGCTGGATGGAGTCCTCGTCGATGCGATGGATGTAGTCATGCAGATTGGTCTTGGGCAGAGCAACATCGGCATCGGGATCGGCACGCTCGGGAGCGGGGATAGCCAAGGTGGAGGAAGCCACCAGGGAGAGGACGAGAAGGCGGACGAGAGGGTTCATCTTGAGTTGGATTAGAAGATGAGATGGGATGGATTGAGATGAGGTTGAAGAGGATGGAATAAAGAAGAGAAAGATAAGGTAGAAAGAAACAGGGAAGGAGAAGAAGAAATAAGAAGGCTGCCCGGTTTGTTGATAGTCAGTGGAGCCGTAGTCGATAGTGAATGGAACAGTTCGTCGACCTGACAAACCATGGAATGACGGTTGCACAAGCCACCGGCTCCATCGGGTGGCGATGCAGTTATGTATATGTGTCTACAAGTACAGAGTACAGGGGGTAACTAATAATAATGTCGTTGTTATTGCAATCAGTACTAATAATGTCTATAGTATCAATAATATCAGTAGAGTTCATTGAGAGGTACTACCTAGGTACCTACAGGTACAGAGTATCTGATAGTAACGGCATCTGTCCGAGCGGATCTGGTCATATCAACAACCACCCTCCGATTGGCATGACCCTCTCGGTTCTCCTCTCAGTTCCATGTTCCTGCTCATCCAACTGCCCATTCCGGACTGTTCGACGGTCTGCAACCGGATCCGACCGTTTTGAGGGTTGAAAATCTTGAGAACCGAAGATCCCGAGAGCCGCTATGCCGCATTCGGCCTGGTGCGGTGGAGAGTAGAAGCTCCTCATTGGTCTCGATCGATCTGTTTTAGCTTATCCAAAAGAGGAAGTCTTCTGTCTCAGGCATCTGCATATCGTACTAGGTACCTACTAGGTACCTCAGGGCTGTTAGTTTCATGATTGAGTATTGACGTGTCTAGTGCTGACCTCCACAAAGTCAGTCGCAAAGAACATCGGATAACTCGAGGACGACAGAGTTCGATACGAGGCGTTGTCTTACCTGTGCGTGGACACCGTCAGACTGAGACATGATCTATTTTTTGCCTCTCTATAAATAAACGCCTGGCGGTAACCGCCGACTCTACATCATCACTGTCTGATCGGACCCGATCAGCGGCCGATGGTGTCCCTTATTCTCCCAATTGATAATCATTGTCAACCATTGGTATTGAACATTGTCCGTCAGATATATATTCTCTCAGGATACTGTAAAACAAGCAGCCTAGAATGAATCCTGCATCGAACAGCTGCGTCTTATTGAATGAGTTTATGATGCGTACTCCATCCAATGCATCCTAATATATATAGCGTCCTCGTTCGCGGCAAATAACTATACAACGCCGACCATACCACCCATAACGCCTGTCCTAAACACGACTACTTCCGTTCAAAATCTCCAACCCACTCGCCCCAACCCACCACCTTCCCTTGAATCTCGCTCGTGATATTCGCCAAACTCACAAACGAGTCCATCCGCTTCCGATCCAACGGGTTACCCAGCGCCACCAGCTGGAAGAAATACCGATGCCGACCCCGTCCCAACGGCGGTGATGGCGGCATATACGTCGTCAGCCCCAGATTGCGGCCGTACTGGAACCCGCCCTTTAACGAGTACGGTTCCTTGCGGGAGGTATCGACGGCAAAATCATCGTTGGTCAATCCCGTGAACACAGGTGGAATGCCGTAGTATAGTCCGTGCAGGATGGGTGTTTCGGCGTCGGCGTCGGCGTCTTCACTGACGAGCACGTATTCGCGGACGGTGACGCGCGCCGGGCGTTTCCAGGACAGTGCGGGAAAGAAGCCTGCACCGTCGAGAGTGAAGTCGATGCCCAGTTGCGATCCAGATGCGCCTAGGTCGGGACTGTGGATTTGAATAGTGGCGTTGGGGAAGCCAGCGAAGGCGGGTCCTCGGGTGAAGAGCTTGTGCTGCTGGCCCTGGGGAGGGAGGGCTTGGACTGTGGTCCACAGCGAGACGAGGAGTGTTGGCATGAAAAGATGCATCTGGATTGTCAGTTGATGTGAGGTTGTGGTGGTGTCGGGGTTACCTTGGATGATGGTTTCGTAAGTGTATACTGAATGGGTGTGCGTGGGATGAGATGTGGTGTATGGGTGGACGTACCTCAGCCCGGAGGTAGGTATATATACTCAAGGTAGGTCGGTGGACAGGTAGGAGCGTTGGGGGTTATGGAAGGCATACTCTGGATGCGCCCTCCCTTCTTCGGTTCCTTCTATATCCATAAAGGTGAGCTACATAGACTGCTACGGAGTGCATAACTAGGTAGGTACTGGGTAGGACTCTCTTCAAACATCCTGCAAAGTATCCAGGCGAAACCGATCCAAGTCTAATCGACAACAACATCTACAGTACCTGTAATTAGGTAGTAATGGTTCATTTTTCCATGATGTGGTTGTGGTGACTGTTCAACGGATATGGCCGAGGTACTCCGCATCTCCATATGACAACCCCGCGTGGAAATTTATATAAATCTTTCAGTCGTTTGCCATCTCATTCTCCATCCAGTATATATCGAACTATATCCAGCATAATGGACGCGCTCTGGTCCAATGTCGTCGCCTCCTACTCCCCCCTCGCCATCGAATTCACCGGCACACTTCTCGTCCAAATCCTCACCTTCTGGCTGCCTTCCCTCTGCTATCTTGCCCTAGACCTCCTCTTCCCCGTCTTCTCCCAGCGTCACAAGCTCCAACCAGCCACCAAACAACCCAGCGCCGCTGAAATCCGGCTTTGTTTCCGCGTTGTCGCGCGCAACCAGCTCATCACCTCCGCCCTCCATCTCACCCAGATCGTCCTTCTCCGACGCGGCGCCCCCTCTTACCGCATCAGCGCCACCCTCCCCGGCCCCATCGAGCTCCTCCGCGACATCGCCGCCAGCCTCCTGCTCCGGGAAGCCCTCTTCTACTACAGCCACCGGCTGCTGCACCGGCCGGCGTGGTACAGGCGCATCCACAAGCGGCACCACCGGTTCACGGCGCCGATTGCGCTGGCGGCGCAGTTTGCGCATCCGGTGGAACAGATCGTGGCGAATGCGCTGCCGATCTCACTGCCGCCGCAGCTGCTGGGCAGCCATGTGGTGACGTTCTGGGCGTTCTTGGCGTATGAGCTGTTTAATACGGCGACGGTGCATAGTGGGTATGACTTTTTTGCGGGGCAGGCGAGGATGCATGATTTGCATCATGAAAAGTTCAATTTGAATTATGGATCGATTGGGTTGTTGGATTGGGTGCATGGGACCGATCGGTTGCAGAGGTAGTATAGATCTGTGCCTGGGGTTGATGCATATAGGGTATATATTTGGTTGGCGATGCTGTATTACCTAGGAACTCCGTAGGTGATGCATACATCGGTATATATACCTTACCTAGTATCAGTGCTGTTAGTGCATAAGTACAGACTGGATAAATATATCCCATAAAAGACAAAATCTATCAGAGTAGAATTGTGAAATTCAGGATCAAACCCATAGAAAGATAATAAAATAGCCCAAGGACCCTTGAATAACACGATAATACTGGTCTGTGTGACTATGGAGTAGACCGTTGTCTTAGTGGCGTCTTGGTATTGCTTGTCGGTCTAGACTGCTTCGACTGGTACCCGTAGGCATCCTCAATAAATGCATTTCCGTGAGACGACCCTTTCGGAACCCTGGATCGTCCCGCGAGTGGCCGCTATTTATAAGACGGGACAGGGACCCTAATTAATCGACGAATTCAGGGGAGTGATTGGAGAGGATCCATGGCCACGTCGAGTAATCCGAAACACCACAGACCCCTTTCATTGGCGTGCAGGGACCGCGATGCGCGGGTGGGGAATGCAGGGATCGTCAGGGATAATTTACGCCCAGTCAGGGTATCCGGAGTAGAGTCCCTAGTACTAGTATGTCCTAGGCATGTACATAGGTAGGTAAGTATCTAGTATAGCATCTCCTATGGACAATACTGTATACGAATAGGAAGTACTGGTAGATAGAGATAGAGGTTGACTCTAGAATCTACATCAATGGACAGATAGGAAATACTACATCAAACACTCGATACTACAAACAAATATACCCTTTATACTCCATACTACAGGACCGATCTGCAGTGAACCCCGATGACGAATCCACCTCAGGGATTTAACCCAGCCTGGCTTGCCTGACCTTTAACTCATCCCCCATCCGGCCTGCATTCTTTTTCTCTCGCTCTCTCCTGCACCCCTTCGTCCTTCTTCTGCTCCTTCTTCCTCCTTCTTTCTTCTCTCCTTCTTTATCAGTCACTCGTTACCCACCCACGTCCACTCGTTCCATCTTCTAACTACTCCTCTTCTCTCGCTCAATCCATTCTTTCATCCATACCTTGTAATTTCCCATCTCCTACTTCACTATGAAGGCCTCCGCTGTCGCCGCGGCCCTCGTCCTCGGCGCCTCCTCCGCCATCGCCGCCCCCTCGCTCAAGGCTCGCGACGATGTCACCCCCGTCACCGTCAAGGGCAATGCCTTCTTCAAGGGTGACGAGCGCTTCTACATCCGGGGTGTCGACTACCAGCCTGGTGGCTCCTCCGACCTCTCGGACCCCATCGCGGACGCCGACGGCTGCAAGCGCGACATCGAGAAGTTCAAGGACCTCGGCCTCAACACCATCCGTGTCTACTCCGTCGACAACTCGAAGAACCACGACGAGTGCATGAACGCCCTGGCTGACGCCGGCATCTACCTCGTCCTCGATGTCAACACCCCCAAGTACTCCCTCAACCGCGCCGACCCCAAGGCCTCCTACAACGATGTCTACCTCCAGTACATCTTTGCCACCGTCGATGCCTTTGCCAACTACAAGAACACCCTCGCCTTCTTCTCCGGCAACGAGGTCATCAACGATGGTCCTTCCTCCAAGGCCGCCCCCTACGTCAAGGCCGTCACCCGTGACCTGCGTCAGTACATCCGTAGCCGCAACTACCGCTCCATCCCTGTCGGTTACTCGGCGGTAAGTATCCTGCAAGACCATCATCAACGTAAAGACGCTAACAATGTCAGGCCGACATCGACACCAACCGTCTGCAGATGGCCGAGTACATGAACTGCGGTACTGACGACGAGCGCTCCGACTTCTTTGCCTTCAACGACTACTCCTGGTGTGACCCCTCTTCCTTCACCACCTCCGGCTGGGACCAGAAGGTCAAGATGTTCACCGGCTACGGTCTCCCCCTCTTCCTCTCCGAGTACGGCTGCAACACCAACACCCGCAAGTTTGAAGAGGTCAGCGCCCTCTACTCCACCAAGATGACTGGCGTCTACTCGGGTGGTCTCGTCTACGAGTACTCCCAGGAGCCCAGCAACTACGGTCTCGTCAAGGTCCAAGGCTCCAAGGTTTCCACCCTGCCCGACTACGATGCTCTCAAGTCCGCCTTTGAGAAGACCAACAACCCCGAGGGTGATGGTGGTTACAACAAGACTGGCGGTGCCAACCCCTGCCCCGCCAAGCAGGCCCCCGCCTGGGATGTCGACAACGATGCTCTGCCTGCCATCCCCGAGCCCGCGAAGAAGTACATGACCCAGGGAGCCGGCAAGGGCGCTGGTTTCTCCGGCAAGGGCAGCCAGGGCGCCGGCACCTCCTCCACTGGCACCGCTGCTCCTGGCTCCGGCTCGGCCACTAGCGGTAGCAGCAGCTCGGCCACCTCGTCCGGCATTGCCGCGGGTCTCCAGGTTCCCCGCCTCAGCATGGCTCCCTTCGTCGTCGGCGCCATCACGCTGATGTCGACCCTCTTCGGTGCCGGCCTGGTTCTGGTTTAAGCTTTGGTGGATCCCTTTTTTGTCTCCGGATTTTGTTCCATGTCTTTCTTTCTGTCCCGCTGTTCTATGTGAAATTGTATTCGCGTCGACGTGTCCGCGAGGCGTTATCGGAAATATGCGACGTCAGCAGCAGAGACTTTGATTTGTACAGTGGGTGATGCATGCGTGCTCACCGGGACTCGTATAGAGCTAATGGATTTCTTCATGATATTGTATTGTCTGAATGTGTGCCGTGTAGTGATGTGCCTGAAGCCTGCCTGATCCACTGTTTTTGGTCTTCAGTCTGATACGCTTACAGTTTCAGGTTTCCTCCGTTTTTCCGGACGACTCCCATGTGTTCCTCAATGACGGAGAAGTGACTGACTCGCAACGAGATTGCCGACTGGAGGCTCGGGACTCGTCCGAAAATATATCAGCAGGAATGCGCCATGATTCCACTAGGTCCTTTCCAAGTGAAACCCGTTTCTGGCTGGGTTCGTCCTAACGATCAATGTGCCAATCAGGGATTCTGCTTTATTGATCCATCCTTTGCCCAAATCTCCCACTCGGAGAGCAGTGTTTTATCTAAATGTCTCGTCGCAACAGCTCAAACCACCGATGTTTACCCATGAAACCAGGCCATGCTTCGTCGGCCTTAGCGTGACCGCCAGACTCGACTAGAGAGGAACTAAACCCGCCCCTGAAGTGCTTATTTTGCGATGAACCAACGGCGTGCTCGTGATATCGCAGACACGAAGCACTGGCCAAGTCAAGATGGACCCCTCAGTCGTGAAAAAAGCCCACCGATCAATCTGTCCATAACAGTAGCCCGTCCGCAGTCCATCCTGGAATAATTTGCTTTCTCCTGTTCCATGCAACGCCCACAATCCTCGAACTATATCAATCCCTGCAGGGAACCATGGAGCATCATTCTTCACAGCCCATATCTCATTCCTTTCCTTCGTTCTTTCGGCCGTCGCCGCCATTCTTTTGTCCTGGGTAGCTGCTGGGCCAGCCAACCCTTCCGTTCATTCGTGTCTTTATAAATTCCCTTACTTTTTCGTTCTCTATTTCCGGAAATAGGGAGATATGCGTTCCTTTCTCGCCAGCCTCGTTGCCCTCAGCTCCGCGCTAGGCGCGTCGGCAGCCACCTACAATTCGTCCGCCTACAGTGATTCAACCACGGGAATCGATTTTCAACGATGGTGCGATGAAACGACCGGGTTCTGCTTTGGTGTGGCCCTCCCCGAGTCGGTGGACTCGGACTTTGTCGGTCAGCTGGTGGTGCCCCTGTCCGAGTCGAAAGGATGGGGTGGTGTCAGTCTTGGTGGATCGATGACCCAGACCTTGCTGCTTGCAGCCTGGCCCAACGGTGACTCGGTCGTCTCGACCCTGCGGAAAACCAGTACCTACGCTAACCCGGACGTCTTCTCGGGCGATGCCAGCCTCACCGCGATTCCCGATGGCACCTCCGTCAACAGCACCCATCTGACGTATACCTTCTTGTGCAGCGGATGCATCGTGGGATCCCCGACGACCTTCAGTGCAAGTGACGAGACCTACTTCCTTGGCTGGGCTCTGAGCAAGACCAATCCTACCACCCCCAGCTCTCCCTCCTCGGTCCTCCCCTACCATGCCGCCGGGTTTGGCTCCTTCAAGATGCTGCTCTCGGACGCCAAGTCTTCCAAATACTCCACGTGGGCGGCCATGGCGAAGTCGACTGGCCACCACCCCATTCGGCCTCGGCCCTCGGTGGACTCCCTCTGCCCAGCGCGAACCCCGGACCCCCGAGCGTGCCCGGCAACCGTTTCCAACACCACATACGATTATATTGTGGTTGGCGGTGGCCCCGCTGGTATCATCACTGCCGAGCGGTTGGTCGAAGCCAAGAAGAAGGTGCTGTTGATCGAACGGGGTGGCGCTCCCGGTTGTGTCGATGAGTGCGACGGATTCACTCTCGTGGAACAAGTCTCTGACCCCATTTGACATTCCCGCCGTCGGCACCTCCTTGTCCAAGCTCGGGGTCATTGGCGACTATCTTTGCGAGGATGTCCCGGGCATGGCCGGCTGCGTCCTCGGTGGTGGCACCATCATCAACGCCATGGCGTTCATCCACCCCCAGGCAGCCGACTTTGACGACAAGTGGCCTGAAGGCTGGAAGTGGGAGGATGTGTCGGCCGCCGCAGACCGTCTGTACGAGCGCAACCCCGGCAGCATGCTTCCCTCTGCCGACGGAAGACGCTATGACCAGGCCATGTACTCTGTTCTGTCATCCTTTTTCGATGGCTTGGGTTGGAAGTCTGTAAACCAGCAGGAGCAGCCTAACGAAAAGCACATGATCTACTCGTACCCCTCGTGGTCCATCGCCGACGGCATCCGTGCCGGTCCTGTCCGCTCTTATCTCCCGCTGGTGCAGGACTCGGACGACTTTTCTCTCCGTCTGAACACGATGGTCCGTCGGTTGGTCCGTCGTGGTGGCCGGGTGACCGGTGTCGAGGTCGAGACGGAGGCGGGCGGAATCGAGATCATCAACGTGCGCGCCGGAGGGAAGGTCATTCTCGCGGCTGGAGCCATGTCCACGCCGCGGATCCTGTTCAACTCGGGCATCGGTCCGGCGGAACAGATCAAGAACGTGCAGAGTGGCTCGACGGGCATCACCGTGCCTCCCCAGGCTGAGTGGATCTCGCTGCCCGTTGGTCAGAACCTCAAGGACCACCCGATGTTTACCATCACCGTGAACACCGGCAGCAACTTTACTGCGTACAACACTTCTAGCGTTATGTCGGTGCCGAGTGCGCGCGACCGCCGGCTCTTTGCCCAGGGCTCTGGAGTCTTGACCCAGGGCGGGCACCGGCTGCAGTTCTGGACCTCCAACGTCGGCTCGGACGGGGTCACCCGGTTTTATCAGGGCTCGTGCAGCCCCAGCGCGGACGGCGGCATCACCATGAAGCTGTACCTGACGCACGGCGCGACGTCATCGGGTGTCCTGGGTATCAACGATGCCGGCTCGACGACTCTGGTCAGCGACCCCTGGCTCCAGACCACCGAGGACAAGGACGCGGTGACTAAGTTCCTCGACAACCTGCTGTCGGATCTGTCGAAGAGCTTCTCGGTCAAGGGCGTCTCCACGGCGTCGGATATCCTGAATGATATGACCAGCGGTGACCACTGGGTTGGCACGGCGAAGATGGGACTGGACGATGGCCGTGAGAATGGGACGTCTGTGGTGGACACCAACACGAAGGTGTATGGAACGGAGAATCTGGTAGGACCCCAAAAATTATACTCGTGTGGAATGAAGCTAATCAAAGCAGTACATTGTCGACGCGAGTATCCATCCGGATCTTCCTACGGGTAACACGCAGGCCATTGTGATGGTTGCGGCGGAGGCGGCGGTGGCGCGGATCCTGGCGCAGGACAACACTCAGGGATCTGCGTCGACGTCCGTGTCTAGCATGGCGGCTATCCCGAGCAGCACTGCGTCTGCGGTGATCACGGGGGGTAGCATTGGGGAAAGCGCTGCAACGCCGTCGCTTGTGGTGGTGACGACTACGAAGACGGTGATGGTGACGCAGACGCACACGGTGACTGTGATGCCGACGTTGTAGAGGAGTAGATGTCTACTCAACCGCGGCAGGCCGTGTTCATGTGAAGTCGGGGCCGAGTGGGATAATAGTACATACTTTTAGTAGCTACTAGGTATCGAGTTGAATACAGGGCATTAGGGATCATGCGTGGCAGTAAGTGCGTGGCGCCATAGCAGGATCTTCCGTGGGCCTGCAAAAGCAAAGCAAAATGCCTCATATCGGTTGAAGCCGACAGTCTCATAATAAGAATAATAATGCCGCAAGCCACACCGTAAGCGAGACAATTTCTTTCTTTCTCACTAAGTAACTACATACGTAACTAGGTAACTAAGGTAGGTATTCTCCGAGATTAGGGTTGAGCAGCTTAACACACCTTAATCCAGCTTCAGCCTCATAGTGCCCCAAGCTCAGGCTGCATCGATACTTCCTATCTGTACTGTATCTACGGGAGAGATAGACTCTTCAGGGGTAATACTAGCATACTGTTCCTGAAACCCTCAGAGTCCAAATAGCAGGCAGCAGGATTGCCATGTATGAGGGATTTGCTCCTCCTATAGCTGTCTCGGCTAGCACCGATGCGGTATCTCGCTGTATACAAAAATGCCGCATCGTTACGTCCATCCACAGCACACTACTAGCTAGTACTTCCCTAATTCCTACTCTGTAGCTCTGCTACATAATTTCCGATGGATCTATGCAGCGATCTGTGGCTGTGAACCCGCCTATAAATCCCCCTCCCACCATGTAGTCCCTTCTGCCCATCATCCCTCACGTCCCGGCAAGGCATGCTCATCGACGGCGAAAAGTGGGCTTGCGAAGCGTGCGTCCGCGGCCACCGGGTGACCACCTGCAAACACCATGGTATTGTCCCTGCCTCCTACACCCTGTATCCCTACTTCCGATATGGCCAGCTAATGAGGAGATACATGTTACAGACCGCCCCCTAATCCGCATCAACAGAAAAGGTCGCCCCTTTTCGACCTGCTCTGTATGCCACCGCTCCCCCTGTCCCACGCCCGACGAGCACTCCAAGCTGCGCCAGGCCGACCAGAACCCTGCAAATGTAGACGTGCACCATTACCATTACCACTACCCATCTGCCCTTCACCACCTGCACCTGCACACACACACACATGCACACCCACAGCTGTGATATTGTTCGCGACACTCGCTGATTGCGCTTCCCAGAGACTGCCGCCCGGCCGAGCCGCGCGCCCGCCCGCGTCGTTTCTCCCCATCGCGCCGCGCCCCGCGTCGTCCTCGCCGTCGGCTGCTGCGCCGGTGGCCGCGGCGGCGGCGGCGGGGTCGAGACGGGAGAGCCAGCAGGGTGCTGGGGCGGACCGGAATCGACCGGTTGATCCGCTGATGAGCGCGTATCCGGGGCCTTCGGTGCAGGGCTATGGCCATGGGCATGGGCATGGGCATGGACATATGCCCGGGCATGGCTACCCGGGTGTTTCTCGCGGCCACACCCACGCTGGCTACTCCGCTGTGTCGCATGGCGTGTACCCGCCGTCCACGCTGGACCCGGCGCAGCTGGCGCTGGGGGCGTCGGCAGGCGCGTATGCGGCGACCGTGCCGGTGTCGCTGCCCATGGCGGGCGGCGAGCGCGACATGTTCTTTGAGGGCGGGTTTGTGGATGATGCGGCGGCGTTGGAGGGGCTGGATTTGGATGAGGTGTTGCGGGAGGATTGGTCGTGGTTGGATTCGGGGGCTGGGGCTGGGGCTGGGCCGGCGCCGTTGTGACAGCAGGGGCGTGCGTGATATGATTGACGAGTTATGTGTTATGATGGCTGCGTTTGTCCTGGTGTATAGAGGGAGGCTTGTCTGTTGCATAGCATGGTTTTTATATAGCTACACTACAGTACATCGACTAGATTGCCCGTGATTGATTCATACCTCCTGGATATAGTTCGCGGGCACGCTCTTCGTCACGCCTCCCCGCTCCACGTCTGCCCAGCCGTCGCCGCTGTCCCGGTTGATCAGCACGAACCGATCTCCCTCCGCCATGCTCCACTCCATGTCGCTGCGCGCCTCGTAGTCGTACATCGCCTCCACGTATTGCAGCTTCTTTGCGCCCCGTCGCGGCGCCACGGCCGGCCCCACGCGTTTGCCGCCCGCGCCACTGCCTGCTAACGACGCCGACGAGTTCGAATACGTCGACCCAGGACGCTCCGGCAGGCCAGGGCTGGCCGAGGGGACCGGCGACGGCGCGGCGGCGGCGGCCGGGAGCGCCTCGACATACGACGCCGGCACCAGACCCTCTTGCGTCCCGACGCGCACTCGCATCCATCCCGATCCGTCTACCATAGTTAGCAACATCTTGACACGCGGACTGCTCAACTTACCATCAGGCTCGACGATCGTCACATCGTCGCCCTCTTGCACCGTAACCTCGTCCGCCCCGCCCGCTTGGTACGCGTACAGCATCTTGCCTCGTGGTTCGCTGGTCCGCGGCGACTCCGTCACCGGCGGTGGGGCGACGTACTGTGCTGGAGGCGGCGCAAGGATGCGGTTCCGTCGCGCCGGCGCCGGCTTGGTCTCCTGAGGCGCTGCTGGGGTAGCTGTTTGGCCTGGCAGCTCCGCCGGATTGGCCGGCGCTTGGTTGACGTTCGACAGCGACCGATTGGCGCTAACAGCGTATCCCGAGCTCAAAGAATTCATCGTGTTCTGCCGCGTGAGCGAGGGCGCCGCGGACGAGTTCGTCGTTGTGGGCTCCAAGTCCAGCGTCGGAGTGGCGCTGGCCTGTTCCTGTCGCTCCGCTTTCAGCTTCTTCTTTTCCTCCTTGCTTTGCTCGCCGGGACACTCGGCGGGCACTTTCATCTGACACTTGCTGTGACACGTGTAGCCACAATCCCGGCAGTCGTATCCCTTGGCCGACAGCCCCCAGATGCGCTCACCGCACAGGTCGCAATTGGTCGGGATCTTGAACGTCTGCGACTTGAAGTTGTGGTTCTGCGCCCCCAGCGACAGGTCACCAACAGCCGACATGATGGTCGATGTTTCCACTTCGGCGGTCAGCTTCTTGCGGTCAACTTCGTGCAGCGTACCCTGCAGGAAGAAGATGGAGCGCACGACTTCGACCTCGTTGCGGTTGTCCCGGCCCTGCTTGATGTTCTCTCGGATCTTGCGAGCGTTTTCCACCTCCCGGCGTTTCTGGTCAGACTCAACGCGGAGTTCGCGCACCTGAGTCTTACTCTTGCTGAGAAGGTTGCGAAGGAAGACCTTGGCCGTTTCATCCGTGACCAGGGTTTCGTCATCGTGCCAAACTGGACTCGGCTCGAAGCCCACGTTGGGTGGCTCCTGTGACTGTGTGACGTTGTGACGGAGGAACATGAGGGAATCGAGGCTGGGCACGTTGCGCGGGATTTCCTGGAGTAAGTGTGACATGTGGTCCATGCTTTTGGCGAGGGAATTCTTCTCCAGCTGGGCGGCTAGCGACCATACAGAGTTGAGCTTGGTCACGCGAGTCTCATTGAGGTCTTGCAGGCCCTGGTCTGGTCAGCAGTGATCAAGACGAAATACCTCGGAAGAAGATACCCACATCAAGCAGCTCCGGCACATACTCATGATAAAACCGCTCCTTCATCTTGTTCGTCACGTTGATACTGATCAAATACGTATTCTTCACGTTGTTCATCTCAAGAATCTGCTGTTGATACGCCGCCTGCGCCTTTGGTTTGCTGTGATCGAACGAGCTTTCCATCTTCTTCCGTCTCGTCTCGACCTCCTGACACGCCCCGTCATATTTTCCCTTCATCTTCTTCAGATCATGGTAAGACGAGTCGCGTTCCTTTTCCAACTTCGCGTGAAAGTCGACATGACACTTGCGCAGTTCCTCATACTGTGCGGCGGCTTGTTTTAGCGGCTCGGCGACCTGAACAACCAGGTCGTTGGCGAACTTGTCGCGCTCCGTGGCATGCGATTCCACGGCGGTCAATTGGGTGGTCCATGTCGTGAGAGAGGCACTCTCGAGCGAGCCAGGGGTCATGCTCGGGGTGTCGCCGACGCTGAGAGTGCTTGTTTTCTTGGCTTTGCGGTCGTAGTATTTCCGACATAGGGCGGTCAGCTTGGCGGCGTATTCCTTCTCGATGGCGCTTCGTTCGCGGTAGAACTGTTGGATCTCATCCAGCCAGGTTATCCCATGAAGAACCTAGGGTACGCGATCTTAGTCCGATGTCTTGTCGGTCCCTGGTGAGGGGTCGAAGGAGGTTTGAACGAGATGCGGGGGAACGTAGGCATACCCAATTGTTGACTGGTTTGAATGCATCCTGTCCTGCAGCTTAGCCTTGCTCTTCATCTGATTGCTCCTGCGGTGAGGATACTACCTTCAGCTCTGCTCCAAAATGAGGAGCGGCGTCTGGGGTTGCCATTATTGGTGCGACAAACGGGGGTAATCGCGGCGCATAAGAACTCTCTCAGGCCGGTTCGGGGATGATCGCAAGGGGGGATTGGGATTGGGAAGGGGATCTGCCTCTCCGCGTGTTCCGTCTGGATCAGCGCCGGGACAGTCAGCCACAGATATGTACACGAGCGACACGGACTCCCCAGAGAGGTTCAGTGAGGGACAGTAAACGTGGACTGGAGATGTTCCTGAAGAGGCATTGGGAAGCGGGGGAGGACGAAGGAACTCCGTGACAATACGGGACGGGGCGCTGTCAGGCCACGTAATTGCCTAACTGGGAAGCTGTCCATAGTACGTCATTCTTGACCGCCTACCGTATATGAGAGAGAAACAGGCGCCCTCTCCGCCTGCCTGATCGGGCCTAGTTGGCAGGCGGGATCGCAACCCAGCGTCAACTGTTCGTTCATGCGTTTTTTGCCTGGTAAACCGGTAAACCTCTGTTTCTTTCTCCCCTCCATTCGCCTCGGGGTCCTCTCTCTCTCTCTCACTGTGTTGTTGAATTCCATCGTCTTCCTATCACTTCAATTACCGCTTCATATCACTTCCATATCATCAGATTCTCCCTGTGGATCGCCGCGTTCTCTCGGACTCTCCCGACCCCGCGATCTCTCCGCTTCAGCGCCGTCTCTCATCCCATTTCTTCTCTTCCAATCTCAACCCAGATACCCATCATGTCGTCTGAACAACCTACCGAAGCTCCTGCTGGAGGTTCCCTTGCCGACCGCATCTCCAAGCCCGAGGAGTCTAAGCCCGCAGGTAACGCCGTCTCGCATGCCGTCGTTCGACTTTGCTTTGGCCTTCCGTCGCGACCACCCATCCCGACCCAACACTAATTCAAACCCGTCACAGACAGCACCCAACAGCCCACCGATAATGGACAAACCGATGGTGCTCCCGCTCAGCTCGGCGGATCCGAACTTCACGAGCCGGAATACAACGTCGAAGTCAAGCTGAGCGACCTCCAAGCGGACCCTAACAACCCCCTCTTTTCAGTCAAGAACTTCGAGGACCTGGGACTGTACGTTTAGCTATTCATGCTACTTTGGAATGCACCCACCACTAACCCATGTTGTTTATAGTGACCCCCGTATCCTCCAGGGTTTGTCGGCCATGAACTTCCGCAAGCCGTCCAAGATTCAAGAGCGAGCCCTCCCCCTGCTGTTGAGCAACCCTCCGAAGAACCTAGTCGGCCAGTCCCAGTCGGGTACCGGAAAGACCGCTGCTTTTGTCCTGAACATCCTCAGCCGTCTCGACCTCTCCACCGAACAGATGCAAAAGACTCCTCAGGCCCTCATCTTGGCCCCCACCCGTGAGCTGGCCCGTCAGATCGTCGGTGTGATTCAGGTCATGGGTCAGTTCCTGGACAACCTCATTATCGGTACTGCCGTTCCGGCCGATACCAACAACCGTCCCGCGAGGATGGAGGCCTCCGTGGTCGTCGGTACTCCCGGAACCGTCATGGATATGATCAAGAAGCGGATTATGGTCCCCGCTAAGCTCCAGGTGCTGGTCTTGGATGAGGCCGATAACATGCTGGACCAACAGGGTCTCGGTGATCAGTGTATTCGTGTGAAAGCGTGCGTTCCTCTCGATCGTTGATTTGTCTCCCATCTAATGCTTTGCAGCCTTCTCCCGCGAACTATTCAGGTGGTTCTCTTCTCCGCTACCTTCCCGACTCATGTGCACCAATATGCTTCCAAGTTCGCGCCGCAGGCCAACGAACTTACCCTGCAACACGAGGAGTTGACTGTGGAGGGAATCAAACAACTCTACTTGGACTGCTCCGACGAGGAGGACAAGTACCGGACTCTGGTCAGCCTCTACGGTCTACTCACTGTGGGCTCTTCCATTATCTTCGTCAAGGTTGGTTCCTCGCTCTATATTTGGTCGTTTCCGTTCTAACAACATCAGACCCGTCAATCCGCCATGGAAATTGAAAAACGCATGGTTGCCGAAGGCCACACGGTGGCATCGTTGACTGGTGGTATTGAGGGCTCCCAGCGTGACGCGGTGATTGACCAGTTCCGTGCTGGCGCGGCCAAGGTTCTGATTACGACCAACGTGCTTGCTCGAGGAATCGATGTCTCTACCGTATCGATGGTGATCAACTACGTAAGTCGCCCGAGTTGATGTGCATTTCTGGTACTAACATTCCGCTAGGACATTCCCGAGCTACACCTCCCTCCCAACCAACCCCGCCAAGCCGACTTCCAGACATACCTGCACCGTATCGGCCGGACGGGTCGTTTCGGCCGTGTGGGCGTGTCAATCTCGTTCGTCTCCAACCGCGACGAGTGGAACATGCTCAACCAGATCCAGAAATACTTCAACACCAGCATCCAGCGGATCGACACGAAGGACTGGGATGAGGTGGAGGATATTATCAAGAAGACGATCAAGAACCCTCGTTCGCAGGCCACCTTTGGGAAATAGGCGGCCGTCCATGTGGTCGATGGTAGGGGTGCAAGCACCGCCAATGATGGCGGGTTGGAGCCGTTGGGTTGCTAGAATGGCTGTTATGTGATTTATGCGGAAAGAGTGACGATAGTAAAAGTCCAATAATAGATACCAGTTTGTTTGTGGTTATGCTGGAGACAGAAGGTATATATATGTTCTGAAGTTCGTATACTCCCTGTACGATGAAGATATATACCTACCCGTAGGTAGTGGAGATGGTCCCACTTGGACTCCGGTCTACTTTATACCTAGCAGTACTTGTCTAGTAGATATCTAGCTAAGCTAGGCATCCAGATATGTCAGACAACATCAACCTATTTACTGAACGATGGACATCCATGGATCGGACACGGCCAGCGTCGGAATGCGGCCTAAGTGAGGGGTTAGGAACAATGAGCCGATAAGGATAAGGTGCGGAGAGAGAGTGACTTCAGACATGCAGGGAGACACTGATGACCTGTCCTACCCCCCTCGCCTTCTCCTTCATTCCTTCATTCCTCCTCTCTATCTTTCGCCTCCTCATCCACTGCATCAAGATTGACTTTGTTTCCCCCTACCATGCTCGCCACGGATACTGACAACATCCCAAAGCCCGCAGATGGCGCAACAATAGCCACTTCACCGACATCTGCCAACTCGCGCTACAGCAAACACATCGTCGTAGGCCTCCAGAATTCCCCGTCCCTCCCTGACTCTGTGCGACATCACTGCTGACCCCCTAGTTAACCACCTATCCCGGACAAAGTGGCATCGACCCCGTTCCCCTAGAATGGGGTGCACCAGACGCCAAATCCCGCGGCCCTGTGCTCGTCTCGCGCAGCGGCGCTCATCTGAAGCGTCGCAATGCCCTGGGCGCCCATGGCGGTAGCTATGCCATCTACAACGCCCTCGCCATCGCCGCCGGCGACCTCCCGCCAGACTTCCGCCCCGACTTCCGTAACAGCGAGCCCACGTTCAATTTCCCCTGGCAGCCCGCCTGGGCCGACAAGACCAAGATCGTCTCCATGGACCCCTACGGCCATGACATCGTCAACCAGTTCCGCGACGAGCTCAACGCCGGCTGGGACATCCGGCCGACGATGGCCGTCACCCGTGCCAACATGAAGCTGGCGGAGATTGGCGAGGCCGTGCGCGAGAAAAAGCTCGACGTCGACGGCTCCATCGTCGTGGACGAGTCGGGCGAAGTCCGCGTGACCAAGGTCGCCGTTGAGCCGGTGTGGTATCTGCCGGGCGTGGCGGACCGGTTTGGCGTCGATGAGGCGACCCTGCGGCGCGCGCTGTTCGAGCATACCGGCGGTAGCTACCCGGAATTGATCACGCGCCCGGATCTGAAGGTCTTCCTGCCGCCGATTGGCGGCCTGACGGTGTACATTTTTGGACCTCCGGAGCGGGTGTCGGATGAGAACGTGCGGTTGGCCCTGCGCATCCACGACGAGTGCAACGGCAGCGATGTCTTCCAGTCGGATATCTGTACGTGTCGGCCGTATCTGGCGTTCGGGATCCGGGAGGCCATCCGCGAGGCGCAAAATGGAGGTAGTGGTGTGGTGATCTACTTCCGCAAGGAGGGGCGCGCCCTCGGCGAGGTCATTAAGTACCTGGTGTACAATGCGCGCAAGCGCGGCGGCGACACGGCTGACAAGTATTTCACGCGCACGGAGAATATTGCCGGCGTTAGAGATGTATGTGACTGACTATCGGAGGTGAATCCGTCATCGCAACGAGAAGGCTAACGGTGGTAGATGCGCTTCCAAGCCCTCATGCCGGACATTCTGCACTGGCTGGGCATCAAGAAGATCGATCGCATGCTGTCCATGTCCAACATGAAACACGACGCCATTGTGCAGTCTGGCATCAAGATCCTGGAGCGGGTGCCGATTCCGGAGGACATGATTCCCAGCGATTCGCGAGTCGAGATCGATGCGAAGATTAATGCGGGCTATTTCACGACCGGGAGACAGTATACCATGGAGGAACTGGCGGAGGTGCGTGGCCGCGGCTGGGAGAAGTGGGAGGACGTTACGGTGAGTATATCAACACGGCTTGAAGAGAAGATACTAATTTTGCCAGCATTGATTGCATTCTTCTGTTCAGACTGCGGTGATGGTATTTCGGGTTATTTGTTCAATACTGCTACATCGATCTAGAAATGATCAATAATTGATCATCGGCATCTCGGACACCCTTCCGTAGATCAGATCTCGGTTCCTCCTCCCGAGCGGATTCTTTTCCCTCTTCCCCGCTCGCAAGTATATAACCCCATGGACGTAAGTCGACATACACTCTCTACTCTACTATAATATACCATACGCTTTATCCCTCATAGGACCCCCTATACATCCGTCCTAAGTCTTCTACAATTGTAATCATGACGCGTGTCTCCCCGCAACCCCACGTCCCCAGACCCGGGGTCTGGTGCCCCGCCGTGACCTTCTTCAACCACGATATCGACACACTCGACCTCGAATCCCAAAAGAAGTACTATTCCTACCTCTCCCAGACCGGCCTCACCGGGCTCGTCATCCTCGGTACCAATTCCGAAGCCTTCCTCCTCACGCGCGAAGAACGCAAAGCCCTCATCGCGACGGCCCGCGAAGCCGTCGGCCCCGACTACCCCCTCATGGCCGGCGTCGGCGCCCACTCCACAAAACAAGTCCTGGAGCTGGCCGCTGACGCCGCTGACGCCGGCGCCAACTACGTGCTCGTTCTCCCGCCCGCCTACTTCGGCAAGGCGACGACCATGCCCGTGGTGAAGCGGTTCTTCGCGGACGTCGCAGCGCAGAGCCCACTCCCCGTCGTGCTGTACAACTTCCCCGGCGTGTGCAACGGCGTCGACCTCGACTCGGAGACCATCACGGCGATCGTGCGTGCCTCGGCCGCTGCTCGCCCGGACGGCGTGTCCAACGTCGTCGGCGTCAAGCTGACGTGCGGCTCCGTCGCGAAAATCACCCGCCTCGCGGCCACGTTCTCGAAAGACGAGTTCGCCGTGTACGGCGGACAGGCGGATTTCCTCGTCGGCGGGCTGGCGGTCGGCTCGGCCGGGTGCATCGGCGCCTTTACGAACGTCTTTCCCAAGGCGGCGTCGCGCGTCTACCAGCTGTACACAACAGGCCATGTCGCCGAGGCGGTGGAGCTGCAGAAGCAGACGGCGCTTGCGGAGAGTCCGATCAAGAGCGGCATTGCGGCGACCAAGTATGCTGCGGCGGTGTTTTCGGCGCCAAAGGCGGGCATTGTGGGCGCGGAGGAGAAGTTGAGGCCGCGGACACCGTATGAGGAGCCGGCGGAGGCGGCCAAGAAGACGGTGCGGGGAGCTATGGCTGCTGTTGAGGAGATTGAGCGGGGGCTTTGAGGTGTACCCAGTATGTGTATGCCGTATGATGATAGCATGCAGCATGGACCTAATAGAAGCTAAGCTGTTCGGCGAAATGGCCGGAGATTTTATGACGTCTGGGGAATTCTCCGAGACAGCGCCGAATTGGTGGCCTGATAGGTGGATGTTGAGTCGAGATACGAGGTCGCTGTGTAATGAGGTGTTGGTAGAGGGCTGGTTGTGGTGGAGCGGGTGGATAGAGGTGAACTGTACGCCGTCAGTAGGGACTGAATTAGGGTTGAAGCAGGCATTGGTAACAGACTTTTGTCATCCCCCGATGATCCCCCGAACTGTTGCTCGCAATTTCCTGCACGTCATCGGCCATGGCTATACCTCATCTAGGAAGGTAGCAAACAATCGACATGCTCTGTACAGAGGCCTCCCACTGTACACGGACGTCACCGGAGTAGCCTCGGAAGAAACACCCGCATCTCGGACATCACCCCGCAGTGTCTGTTCGTGTCCCCTCTTCCAATCAATGCGTCGGTATACCGAAGTCAACTCCTGCAACTTCATATGCTAAGAAAGCGCGCAGGCTGCCCGCAGTACGGTATAAATACTCCCTCGTCTCGACGCCAGTGGTCGAGTCGGAGGATGGCATAGCTCCAATCCAGACTGCACACCATGAAAACGAGCTGTCTTGTTGCCTTCGCCGTGATGGCCGTGGCCAACGCCGCGGATTACTCTGGGGCCCTTCGACCGCAGGTCCATTTCTCTCCGCCGAAGAACTTCATGAACGATCCCAATGGCCTCTTTTTCGATGACCGGAAGGGCATCTACCACCTGTACTACCAATGTATGCCGTCCCTGCCCTCATGCGAAAGTCCATATTGTCAGTCTGACTCCCCTAGATAACCCCACCGGACTCGTTGCTGGCAACCAGCACTGGGGCCATGCCACCAGCCGTGATCTCTACCACTGGGACAATCACCCCATAGCCATCTCCCCTAGCCATCCAGAAGAGTACATCTTCTCCGGTTCCGCGGTGCTCGACCGCGACAACACCTCGGGCTTCTTCCCGGACCAAGACGACGGCGTCGTCGCCATCTACACCGTCGACACTCCCACCTCTGAGACCCAGAACATCGCCTACTCCCACGATGGCGGCTATACCTTCACCAAGTACGCCGACAACCCGGTCATCAACAGCACCTCAAAGGACTTCCGCGACCCGCAAGTCACCTGGCACGCCGAGACAGGCCGCTGGGTGATGACCGTGGCGTACGCCGCAGACCGGGTGATCGGGTTCTTCACGTCGCCGAACCTGCGCGACTGGACGCACGCGTCCAACTTTACGCAGCCCGGCCTGCCGGGTGTCGAGTTCGAGTGTCCGAACCTGGTGCGCTTCGTCGTCGCCGACGGCTCCACCCGCGACGTGCTCTTCATCTCGGTCAACCCCGGCGCCCCGCTGGGCGGTTCGGGCACATACTACCTGGTCGGCCAGTTTGACGGCACGAGCTTCACGTCCGAGTCGGCCAACGAGACGCTGTACGACTTTGCCAAGGATAACTACGCCTCGCAGTGGTTCTCGGGGCTGGCGCCTGGCGCGGCGCCGCTATCCATCGGCTGGGCGAACAACTGGCAGTATACGCAGGAGGTGCCGACGGGGCCGCTCGAGGACTGGAGGGGCGCGATGTCGCTACCCCGGGAACATGGCTTGCGGCAGGTTGGTGGGAAGTGGGTGGTCACGCAGCGTCCGGTGGGCGATTTGCGTCCTGTCCGTGGGGAGCGGGTCGTGAGTCGGCGGGTGCGTAACGGAGAGGTCACGGCTAACCTGACGGGTGTTGTGTCCAACGCTGTGTACTTTGATGTCGTGGTGAGTGGTGTGCCGGCCGGTCAGGGGGCTGGCACGGTGAGCTTCAACTTTACGTCGTCGTCGGGAGAGCATGTCAACGGCGGGGTGGAGCTGGATAGTGAGCGGTTCTGGATGGACCGCGCTGGGACGCATCTGTTTACGACGCAGGATAACGCGGACTATACGTCGCGGTTTGAGACGCCGGTGACGGTGGAGCACGGGGCGGTTCGGTTTAGCGGGGCGTTAGATCGGTCTTTGTTGGAGGTGTTTTTGAACAGGGACTTGCAGAGTGGGACGATGGTGTACTATCCTACTGCACCGCTGGATCGAGTGGTCTTCTCTGCTGAGGGACTGGGGAATGGCACGGTTGTTCATGTTGATGTGTGGGGCTTGCGCAGCGGATGGACTGGAGTATAGACCGAATATGTTGATATAGAGATGGTTCTATAGATGATGCTTCATGAATTTATCTACTATAGAGGTATATAGCTACGATCTATGAGAGAGTTGTTTACTATGTTTAGGTCATATGACATCATGGCTTTCTGCAGTGTATTAACAATACCAATATTACTCACATCCACCGTGTAAAAATAATATTTACCCGTAAGATAGATACTCGGCTTGCCGGAAACCCCCTCCCGCGATCATACGACGCCCAGCAGTTTCGGCCGAGGATCTCGCCCATCTTCATCTGTTCTTCTCCTCGTCGTCTCTGTGCCACGGACACTGTCCCTGATGGCAGACGCATCGTGATTGGGAGTTCTATTCTGGACACGCATGTCTATACACGATCACACGGTAAGGAATTGACCAGGAGTTGTCCATCAATCTGCATCTTATCTCCGGCCCAGACGTCCTCATCCACAGGTACTATAGAGGTACCTTAGTTGCCGCACAAAGTCTGATCCGCCGGGCCGGAATCATCCCATTGGGGTTCATGTGAGAACCAGAATTCCCTCTGGTGCCTGGCGTCCACTCCCTGTCCACTCCCTTTCCTTCCCCCAACACCTTCAATCACATCTGGTACATCTTCATGTCATTCTCAGTATTCGCCTTTTACTGATATGCGTCTCCTGCAGAAATTACTCTAGTCCGTTATCACCATATTATCGCCCTATCGACTCCCCTTATCGCCCCCATGTGCTCCACTTTTAGTGCTTCGCGATATTGATCTTCATTACCTCAGTCTCGACATCAACATCACCATCACCATCACCTGCAGACTCCTATTTAGGTCGCCTACGCGCTTGCTCTGCATTGCCCCTATGGTCCCGCCTAGCTGCTGAGCAACATGGCGGTCCCCGGCATGGGTAGCGACTTCCAGCTCTTCTCCCCTCTCCAATCATCAAATCGACGCAACTCCCAAAAAGAGTCCAAGGCATTCCCGCTCTCCAGTTCAGATGACGGAGAACAAGATTGGAACCAGTGGATGAGGTGGGATGACAATGCTCTCCTTGACCTTCCCAAAGACCTTCAAAAAGCTTCCTTCGACTTCCCTTTCACCTCGCCCAATAGCTCGACCTGTCAACAGAGTAATGGACCCCCGCAAAGCAGCAACTTCTCCCCCGATGTCTCGTTCGATGGAAATAACATCTCACTCGACTCCTTTCTCCCTGACCACAGCCCGGGAGTCTTGGCCTCAGCGGTATCGAACGCTCCGCTGTCCGCTACGTCCGGCTCCCCCATATCATTAGCCGCTGTTAACCGCAAACGCAAATCCGGGAGTGACGACGATGGGTCAACCGCCACTGGAACGGTCCAGAATAGCAAGAAGATGCCCGCCAAGAAACGCGCCCACAACGTCGTCGAGAAACGGTATCGCGCTAATTTGAACGAGAAGATTGCCGAGTTGAGGGACAGTGTCCCGAGCCTACGTGCCTCCAAAAATACCAATGGTGGATTACTCGACGATGAAGACGAGGGTGTCGCACCCGCGAAACAATTGAACAAGGCATCGATCCTTTCAAAGGCAACAGAATATATTCGTCACCTGGAAATCCGCAACAAACGCCTCGAGGACGAGAATACGGCCTTGAAAAACAGACTGCGTCAACTCGATAAAGCCGTCGATCAGAATCTCACCTCCGCTGCCTCCGTGTCATCTCCCAGTAACTACACCGTCTCCACCGAGTCGGGCGCCAGCTCCTCCCCGAGTGTTTTCTCAAATGCAGAGGATGTCCCCAGTGACCATTCGCCAAGTTCCACTCACCCTCCTGAAGGGTTGATGAAGGTCCCGGACTCGTGGAAGCGCATGCGGGCGGCCGCGGCTAGTGACAATGCGTTCAATCAGTCATACATCCAGTATCCGAGCAATGACAGCGGAGCCTCGCACGCTGGCGGCGGTGGCCGGAGACGGTCTCATTACCCCAATAAATACATGCTCGGTGCTCTAGCCGGACTGATGGTCTTGGAAGGCATGGGAACCGAGAAGAAGTCCGAATCCACCGCGAAAGGGCTTTTCGCATTCCCACTGCACCTCTTCAAAAGCCTTCAATACCCACCAGGCCCGTACTGGGCAGCCATGACCCAGAACTTCTGGCACTCGTGGCATGCTCGCGCTATCCTGCACTTTCTCATCCTTGCTGCACTTGTCGTCGGCAGCGCGTTTGTCGTTTTTGTCTACCTCTTCAACTCGGGCCCAGCTCGGCCATTTGCTTCAGCAAAGTCAGCGTGTGAAACAACTCTGTCATCCAGTAACTTCAGACGCCAGGCTTGGTTGACGAGTATCCAGCGAGTTGGAGTACCTCGCCATCGCTTCTTCCACGAGTGGTACGTGGTAACGTCGAGATGTTTCGAGTACGTTCTTCGCTGCCTCCTTGGATGGAAGCTTTATTCGTGGGCCACAGGAATCACCGAGGAAGATGAAAAAGGCCGGGTGAAGACGTGGGATATTGCAATCGACGCACAGCTAGCTGGCGGCGATGCCGAGGTGAGCAAAAGTCGCCTGGTCTTGACCATCTTTGCCGCCGGCACCTTGCCCCGAAGCCCGATGCGGATGATGTTGAAGGCCCTCCATTGCCGCATCCTCCTCTGGCGCGTTGGAGAGCCGGGTTCTTGGAGCTTCAATACGTCCAACGATGTCGCTCGTAGCTTGGCAAGATATCAATGGGACCTTGCGCGGCAGATTAATGCATCTCTCCCAAAGGACCACGAGGACCGGCTGCCCAGGCATCTGGCGGCCTTGCTGCAGCTAGATAGTGAGGATGTTATGATTGATAGTGTCATTCAACGAGCGGTGAATCTCACATGGAATCGCCCAACGCAGGAAGGAGCCGATGACGACGAGGCGCTGCTCGATGTGGTGGAAGAGGACCCGGCCATCCAGTCCTCTCTCGATGCTCTTGCAGCCTGGTGGTCAAGCCATCTGCTGCAGCGTGCGCTCCTGAAATACTTCGAGGCCAGCTCCGGCGGCCCAGAGGCCAAGAAGAGCCGGGATATCTTCAAGCGGAAAATCAAACTCGCCCTTAAGGTCGCTCCTCAACCCTCCGCGGCCCATACGCGCGCTTTGGTCATGATGGCCGTGTTCTTCGAGCAGAACCGGGTGAGCAACATCGGAAAGGTCCTCGCGGCCCTGCCCAAGGAGAAGAGTGAGAGAAAGAAGAGCCAGACCCTGAACTTCCTGGACACCTCTTTACCCGTGAGCGTTCGGGAGGAAATCTCAATCGCTGTTCGTTGTGCCATGATCGCCGCCATTTTCACCGCGCGAACCACTGGAGACACCTCTCTGCCCGCATCATTCACGATGCAGAGAGCCATTACATGGTTCAACCAATTGCCGCTTGATCCTGTGGAGCTCACCCTGCTGGGCTTTGCTTCTATCTACCATCTCTTACATGTGCTCGCGTCGGACACAGGATATCTGTCTTCGTCCGATTCATCAAACCCCCCTTCCCCGGTATCGAGGTCGCTTCCATCATCGACTGCAACGTCTAGCGATGAAGCAGAAGAGCCCACGCCCGCACCACTCACCCCGTCTATGTCGCCACAGTCGATACCCAATTTAGGCCGCGTGGCCTCAGAACTTATGTACTGGGCCCGGAACGCCTATAACCCGGCATTTTACGGCTTTACGTCCAATCTGGTGAAAGTGGTCGAATCCGAATGCACGTCTCTTTGCCACAGTGCCGGTGTCGACGTAACAGATTATTCCTGCATTCAGGAAGAGAAGAGAAAGGCCATCCGCAAGAAGACCGAGAAACCGCCCAAGGCAGCCGAACAAACCCGACTACCCCGAGAGAAGTCTCAACCTCCCCGGTCTGACGCCGTCGACTGAGGAATAGGGCAGAAGCCTGCGATTACCCCTAATGTTACTGGTATGAAGTTAATGTCTGATCTGTCGTTCTGTTTGCGGGACCGTATTCCGATGTATTTGGACAGGATTGAATCGGGTGGGAATGTAAACGGTTGGCGTTGTATGCCTGTACGTCACTTTCTGTAATGGTTGGATCGTTTATGGTGTCACAGCTGTACATCTTCCCTCAAGAATATGAAGCCAGTGCGGCTCAACAGGTCTCGCGTATGTCAACGCTAATATGATGCTAGATCGTATTATGTGCAGCTGGCAATCCTCGAATGTGTCCTGCAGATAAAACCCCTGACCAAGGCCATCTTGAGCAGAACTTTATCACCCGATCAAGGACCTTTGTTCTGGCCACCCGGCCAACCTTCCGGGATGCCAATGCATCACAGCGTGGCAGAAGCGTGCCTCGCTTTGTCTGATGCCAATCCGGAAAACAGCGGAGTTCCTTTGCTCCATAGCAAGTCGGGATCATTGGCCCATCCCGCCTACGGTGGTATTCAGCAGCCTGCAACCAACGGGTCTAGACAACTCTAAGTGTTTTATATAGTTGCACCACCAGCGACCTACGCCATACCGTTGCAACGCCGCTTCAGCCCTATCCACTTTGGCTGGCGATCTGCTTGGTTTACATCTTCGATCTTCTCGGCATACCTCTCATCTTGTTCTCTGCGAGTCGTTTAGTCATATGTGACGTGCCTGTCACACAGGATTCCCATGACAGTGATTGTCTGCGAAAAAAAAAAAAAAAAAAAAAAAAAAAAAAAAAAAAAAAAAAAAAAAAACCAATGGACAAGGACAGGGGCAGGGGAATGTCAAATGAGTCGAGGGTCGATTTTGAATAGGAGTCTGCTCTACTCATGGCCATCGCCATGCTGAACACCTACAAGTGCCATATCAACACCTGATCCGCCAGGCTGGCGACTCCAGACAGATCCAGCGATTATGACTCCCGCAAACCATTAACCACACCATTGGGACTGTCGATCATCCCAGAGACCGGGTCAATTCATGTTGGTATTTGATGGTGGGACCGCCGCGGTGGTGGAAATCGAAGAACATTCTTGGATTTCCGTTTTCGGAGCCGCTGTTTCATTGCCGCCATCTCACGTCTCACGCGTGAGCCACCAACAGCGTTTCAGTTGAATGAAAGTCTACTTGCCGCGGCGAAAGCCGAGTCCAGACTCTATTAATCATGAGGTGATCGAGAGGATCTGGTTATAGGCTGAGTGGTCTTGGGCACGCGCGTCCACCCCTTAAGGATCCAGATCCCACGATGAACCCTGACAGTCCCGTTCTCCACATTCCTCTCGTTGCAGCCATCAGCCATGTCGCCCCCTGCATTCACCACCAATCTAGCCTGCAGACTTGGCGGCACTTGCAGGATCGATGGGTCTGACGGTTCCGTTCCAACGCCTCGTGGCACCGGGGAGATAGTAGATGACGGCATTGTATGCCTTCAGTCAGACAGAAAATTATACGTCATGAACACAATAAATCCTGTTCGGGCTCCCCGAGATCCTGAGTCCCATGTTGCTTTAATATCCCCAGTTAAGAGGTACTTTACTCCTGGGGCGTTCTGGCGGCTTGTTGCTACTTGCACCGGTTCTGTTCAGTTTGTTGGACCGGAAACTCACTAGATCTGACACTATGGGGGTTGACCAGCTGCCGCCGGGCCAGGAACGCCAGCACGATGTTCATCCCCTCATGAACCTGGCATTGGCCACGCCGCTGTACGTCCTGGGAGGTGCCCTGATGGTCCTGTTTACAGGTCGGACGATCGTGCGCATCCGACACCACCGACGCCTGCGCGAGGCCCTCGACAAAGATGATCAAGAGCGGTTCTCACAGAATACTGCGCTCTCCGCCAGTCTCAAGAAACATGTCTTTTACGCTCCTTTGCTCTCCACCCGCCACAGCCGCGAATTCCGTCCCCTCGGCCGGATCCATATGGGCACTATTCCGCTGCGACTGGAGGTCGCTCTACTTGCGGCGTACCTCGCGTTGAACTTGATATTTTTCTTTGTCCTTGTTGACTGGCCGAGAGACTTCAAGGAGGTGATGTTCGAGCTCAAGTATGCCGCTGGACATCTGGCCGTGATGAACTCACCCGTCCTTGTGCTCACGGCGGGCCGCAATAACCCGCTCATTCCACTGCTGGGGCTCAGATTCGACACGTTCAACTTGTTCCATCGGTGGGTGGGAAGACTCATGATTCTTGGCGCCATTGTCCATGTGGCCTGCGTTCTTGCCTCTGAGGCCCGAGAGAGTGCGTGACCCGTGTCATCTGGAGTAGACTTTTGCTGACAAGAGCAGTGGGCATGAGCATGGTCAACAAGAAGATATGGCATGTTCCCTTCTTTATATACGGGCTTGTGGTGAGTAGATGCCCCGTACGTAGTATTGGGTATGGCTAATTAGACAAGTCTTTCATCGCGTTTGTGGTGATACTCTTCCAGTCGTTATCGCCCATTCGACATGCCTTCTACGAAGCATTCCTGCACTTCCATATTCTGCTGGCCGTCATGGCTTTCGTCGGACTATGGTACCACCTCGAGGGCCTTGCCATGCAACGCGTCCTGCTGGCTACCGTCATCCTGTGGGGATTGGACGTGAGTTGCCCAGCCTCCCCAGTAAGAATTAGTATTGACAATGGTATAGAGAGTTGGCCGACTGGGCAGTATTATCTGGCGCAACTTCGGCAAGAAACGAACAACTGCGACGGTCGAGCTACTTCCCGGCGACGTGGCTCGGGTGGATGTCGCGTTGGCGCGGTCCTGGTCCTTCAGAGCTGGCCAATACATGTACCTGTACATCCCGTCGCTCGGACTGTGGACGTCCCATCCGTTCTCGGTGGCGTGGACGTCGTGGAATCGCACTGGGCCGTGGGAGAAGCGCAGCTCACAGGACTCGGTTGGTCTCTTGCTGGGCGATGCGGAGCGGCAGAAGGTGTCGTTCCTGATCAAGCGGCGTGACGGGTTTACCAGGAAGCTTCTGGACAAGGTTGATAAATCGAGCGAAGGGAGGTTCCGTGCTACGGCGTTTGCAGAGGGGCCGTTTGGTATGTCTCGACGACTTATTGCCTGCTATGGATGTGCTGACAACCGATTGCCAGGTGGACTGCATACTCTCTCGTCATATGGAACGGTGGTGCTTATCGCCGGAGGCATTGGAATCACCCACCCGCTATCTTACATGCATGACTTTGTGAATGGATCCGCTGAGCGTGCAATCGCCGTGCGTCGGGTGAAGCTAGTCTGGGCTGTTCGCAGTCGAGGTGTGTCCTCGTCCCTCCGCCATGCGGTATTTGACCTAACATATATCCAGATCACCTCTCTTGGATCCAGCCATGGATGACCACTTTACTGGGCCACCCCGCCCTCCAGGTCTCCAGCGAACACAAACAAGAATCGTACTTTCAGTTCCCGGAATTTACCCTGTCGGTGCAGGTGTACGTGACCGGGTCTCCAGACGGCAATGTCTCAGACGACTTCTATTCCTCAGACGAGACCCCGTGGGCGAACTCTGCCCCGCCAAGCGTGCCTGTGAGCCTGCACTCGGGTAAGCCGCGCTTCGGGGCGATCCTCGACGCCGAGATGGCGCAGCAGGTCGGCGCGATGGCCGTGAATGTCTGCGGACCGGGGAGCATGGGCGACGACGTACGGACGGCGGTGAGACAGCGACAGGGCCGGAAGACGGTGGATTTGTACGAGGAGGCGTATTCGTGGTAGTCTTTCTTTCGGTTTAGATATTGGCTGTACTTGTATTTATTTTTAGAATGTAGTATTAGTACCTAACTATCTACCTGTCTACATAGCAAAAACCTACGACTGATGCCGGGTCAGACAATATATAGGCATTCAAGTCCAATTGCAGGTACTTACCGTGCGCATCGCCAAGATGACTGAAACGATATCTCCGGGTCTAGTATCCTCCTCTGCACTGTTACTCGGTGGTCCGGGTACACCGCCGCCGATACAGACAAAGAAACCAATGTGGATATTGGGGGATGTTCGAAGCATGTCTTTCGATACCGTGTACCCCCGTACTACTTCTTCTGCTCCTCCCCCACCGAGTATCTACCTTATTCTAATTTGCTTGTAAAATTCACCAGCTATTATCAACCCGGAGGAACCACTCTCTCTCCCCTGCCTACTACCACACTTCCCTACACCTGCTTTGACATCAATGACCATGAAAATCTACAAATATGACCTCTCGAGCCCGGGGATGCTCCCCTCCCAGTTGCTCTCCGTAGACAAGGGGAACAAGGCGGCGGGCATACAAGGAGCCGGGTGCGCTGTGTGTCGATCAACAACCGTTCTACAAATGGGCTCAAAAGCCTACTGTATCCAACATTACCCGAAGGTGCTACTTTGTCTTCCCTACCTCCCCATATTGCCTTTCCTAACATTATGTCAAGTATCGACTTCAGCTTTCTGAAGCGGTGGACTACGATCTCCTTGCGTTGACTTCGGAGGCAACGAAGTTACACCCGACGCTATGCAGGACAAATTGCACCACTACTCCCACCATGACGATGTCTTCTGTAGTAGATTCCTCAAGAACATCCTACTGGCCACAGATGACAACCATGTAGACGATATGGTTCTTAAATTCTTCGCTTCAAAGGGCTGTGTGACACTTTTTGTTGTCCCGCGCCAATATGGGTTCCGAGAAGGGCCATATTTCTTTTCTTCTTGCGGAATCTTCTGGGCGTGGAGACTCTTTCCAGACACCCAGGAAGCATTCGTTACGAGCACTATTCCTTCTCAACACAACTCTTTTATGTCAGTATCGATCCTCCTCAGGGAAGGCACGTTGGTGACCTTTGTCTAGATACGAATCACTTAACGCATCGGCTCTGGGCTCCTCGAGTCTGTGTGTCGCCGTTCCATCCCGAGTTTATTTTATCCCATCGCCCGACCTCCCATTAGCCGGACTCAGGATTGCCGTCAAGGATTTGTTTCATTTACAGGGTGTGCACACCGGCTGTGGGAACCGTGCGTATCGCCGTCTATACGCGGCGTCCGAATTCACATCCACAGCCGTCAAAAAGGCAATAGCTAAAGGTGCAATTGTCGTTGGAAAGACTAAAACAGCTGAATTTGGGGGCACTCAAGAAGTCGTCGGTGACTGGGCTGATTATTCTTATGCATTCAATTGCTGGGCGGAGGGTTACTTAGCCTCAACTGGAAGTAGCACTGGCAGCGCGTCCGCTTTGGCCGCGTATCCCTGGTTGGATGTTGCACTTGGGACTGATGGTGAGATTATCTTTCTGGTGGTTTGATGGACTTTGTCTCTAACGACAACGTAGCTGGTGGTAGCGTTTGAGATCCGGCCGTTGCTCATGGGATTTATGGTCTTCGGCCTTCCCATGATGGCTCTCGTGAGGATAATGCGAATATCCCTTGCGCGTAAGTCCAGAGCGGGCAATTATGAGAGGCTGAAGTCTTCTAACCTGATACTAGAATATTCCAACCCCCAGCTTATCTCGCGCGGAGCAGCGAATTGATGCTGCGCTTCGGAGAAGAGTGGTTGGCCAACACCTCTTCCGTCTCCAGGGTAGGTATGAAGAGAGTATGTCTATACTTTCAAACTGACACAAGTACTCGTAGAGAACCAGACCGAATACTATCCTACTTCCAATTGAATACTTTGCGGATCGTGGCGATGTTCAACTACTTACGGAGGAGTGGCTGCGGACTTTTTCCCAGTGGCTTGAAGCGGAGATATCGCACATTTCAATCGAGGAACAATGGACGAGCCATGCACCAGTGGAACAAGCGTCGTCATTTGAAAGGTTTTTCCGAGAGGTAATGTATAAGACTCCGTTTGTTGGAATACCACTGAGACTTTTCTTCTGGAAACAGACGTTCATGGAAGTTCTTTCAAACGAGTACTGGAAGGATTACTGGAAGGATGGTGATGAATTTCGCACTCGTCATATGCAAACGTTCATGTCATCTCCGTATGTGTGTAAAATAACTAACTGGCTATGGTAACCTCGGACTCGGAACTCTATGAAGCAACATAATAACCGCTGTGCAGGGGGTTGGGCTCATCGATAGAGCCCTCGCGCAAGGAGAAAGCTCTCGAAAAAGTCCACATACACAATACTTGGTTTGGAAAGCATATTATAGGAGACAAATAGACAATTATGGTGGTCCCCAGATACAAGCTGGACTATGGTGACGAATATTTACCGAAAGTCCATATGATCTAGTGTATAATGAATAGGCGCTGACTATAGAAGCAGACCCCCAGAAGAACGCAACTTTTTCGGCTTTGACTCGAACCTCCATGCATCTTTTACAGGATTCCCGAACATAATCGTTCCCAGTCAGTGTGTCCTAGAGTGTGCCACCAACTAAGCTCTGCTTAATACGTTATGAAAGTCGGTCAATGTTCCTATCATTCCCACATAACACAACGAGACGACGTCTTTCCGGTCTCTTTCGATTACGGCTTCGAAAGGTAGGCAGGATGGTATTCTGATGAGACCTTGGAATCTTATTTTTATCATAGGAACGGATTTGGATTTACTCTCGCTGGTCAACGAATATCTTCTCGAGTCTGGACGAGTAAGTTCAGTTCTAACTGGACGTTCAGCATTTCCAACCGACTAGAGGACCATAACCCACTGAATACTTCTATACTCTGCTGGGGCACTGCGGTTCCAGATAAACTATGATCACATACTTTTCGCTCGGAATCATCTATACAGAAAGTGGGACTTACGGAATCACTTGCACACAATCTCAAAGCACTTGAGATACAGGAGAGCTCGCAAAGTCATCTCTGTCCCATGAGGACTGAATATGGATTCTCCTCGGGGGAAGGAAGGCTGGGTCGGATAGCTCAAGGCTGGTTTCGCAATAGCAATACTATCACTGTTGCGGGTAACGAATTGAGCATGAGGAGACCTAAGATTGTATACGCCTCAGCTGTTATGAATGAATTTCCCACAAAGCATAAACATGTTCTTCTGATTAAGCTGCTTCTGATATATACAACCGAATCACGCACCCTCTGCATCCATAAACTCCACCCAAGTGCTCATCTTCGCCCGTACATGCTCCCCATACACCACACCCTCGTCATCTCCATCCACAGCCCGCACGACACACTCCTCCCCAGGCTCAAAGAAAAACGGCACACTCAGTCGACCCAACCCATCATCACTCACCCTCTCCCTCGGCTTCCGCACCCGATGCATCGTCGCCACAAACCGTCCCCCGGATACCCGCGCCATCAAGTCCCCGATATTCACCACAATCGAGCCGGGGATATACGGCGCTGCCACCCACCGACCTGAGCCATCACGCACTTCCAGCCCGCCTGTCGCGTCTTGATGGAGGAGGGTAAGGATTCCGCTGTCTGTGTGGGGTGTGCAACTCAGCTGGACTGTGCTCTCGCCATCATCACTATCAGTGGTGTCTGCGCTATCATGGACGATGGGATAATGCAGGAGACGCAGTGTGCTGAGCGAGTTGGTTAAATATGATGCGAAGAAATCTGCTGGTTTGTCCAGAGACAGGGCAAGGAGGGACAGGAGAGTCGATGCGAGGGTTTGGAGTTCGCGGTGGAGATTTTCCAGACTCTCGCGGGCTGGGAAGACGTCCGGCCAGACATTCGGCTCAGAGAGGATGATTTTTGATGGTGACTGGGGTTGGGGCCTTCTAGGGGAGGGTGAGTGGGGAGGTCCAATTTCGAAGCCCTCTTTCAGGTTGTCGGCGTTCTTGGAGGGTTGTGTTGGGAAGTATCTATCTTGTTAGTTGTGGGTTGATGTATATAGTTCTTTTTGGTGGGCGCACCCCCGGTATGTATTTTTGTTTTCCGGCTGGAAGGACCGTTTGGCTAGTTTCATCTTCTGTTTCTCTGGGAGGAGGAAGAACTCGCGGGTTATGGCGAAGACTTCATTTGGGCTGAAGCTCAACGAAGGATTAACGAGATAGGCGAAGCCGGTGGTTGCGAAGACATCGTGCAGCTGTTGGCTGAGGGTTTGCACTGACTGCGGCGAGTCGTTGAGCTGCGAGAGGTCGATAATCGGGAGAGATGAGAATGAGGCTGTCATTTCTATCTGCTATATGTTTTCTACTGTATACGTTCGTCTGGTGGAGGTGAGGAGGACGGTGATATAAATCCGGCAAGAAGTCGTCTGACATTCCCCATCGGGCAGTTCTATCCATACTACACCTCCTACAACCGAGCCTCCCCGCGCATCAGATGCAAATTCACCGGCGTCAACGCCTTCCCCCTCAGCAAAAACCCCTCGATATTTTCCATTGCCAGCCGCTCAAACCCGATATGCGTGTCCACAGTGCCCCCCGCATTATGCGACATCATCATCACCCGGGCATGCCTCGCCAGCCGCGGATGGACATACGGCTCGGCCGCATGCACATCAAGCCCCGCGGCCGACACCCACCCCTCATCGAGCGCCTGCACCAGCGCCTCCTCGTCGACCAGCGACCCGCGCGCAATGTTGATCAGCCGCGCCCCGCGCTTGAACTGGCGCAGCCGGTCCGCCGTGAGGAGCGTCTGGCCCGCGAACGGCGTCGCGACCACCACACAGTCGGACGCGGCCAGCATGCCCGCCAAGTCAGGGAAGTATCGCGCGCCGACGGCAGCCTCCTGCTCCGGGCTCTTGCGGACGAGATCGTGGTACAGGATCTGCATGCCGAAGGCGGCGGAGGCCTTGCGCGCGATCGTGAACCCGATCTGGCCCAGCCCGATGATTCCGAGCGTGTGGTTGCGCGGGTTGCGCGCCGTCAGTGGAGAGTGCTTGTGTGCGTCGGCGAAGGCCTGCGGGTTCTGCGAGTGCGCGGCCTGGTGCGACCAGGCTAGGTTGCGGAAGACGGCGAGGATGAGGAAGAGGGTCATGTCGGCGACGGATTCGGATGATGCGGCGGCGCCGTTGCAGTAGACGATCCCTGGTTCGTCAGTCTCAAGATATGCCGAATGTGAAGTGAACGAAGGTAGGTACCGTGCTGTGCGAAGATGTCCACGTCCGCCCAGTCGTATCCGGCCCCGGCAGAGGCCATGATCCGCACCGAGGACGGCAGCAGCGGGATCAGCTCGGCGTCCCAGCGGCCCATCTCGCCGCCTGTGTTCCAGAAGGGGCGGAAGATGGCGTGGAAGTCGCCCCAGCGGTGTTCCTTCAGGGCGCGTTTGAACTCGTCGCGCTCCCGCTCTGCGGCTGTCGGCTGGATCAGCTCGAATTCGGAGGCGAAGCGCTGGTATACATCGTGGTTGTATTTGATGTTGTCGCCTAGGTGGAGTACACGGTACTTTTGGGCCATGCTGTGTATATGGATCTGTAGGGACCGGAAGGTGATTGATATGGCTGTGGGTTGAGTATAGGGAGCGTCTTATACTTCGGTGTATAAGTGGGTTCCTGAACGGGAATGTCAACGGCCGTCAATTGCCGTCAAAGACCGACGCGGTGGCCATCCGACAGAGGCCGATGTTCCTGCTGTGATGATCTTAACTGAACTAGATGTCTAGGTCTCGTTACTCCGAAGAGGTTCGGAATTGATGTGGTGGGGTCCATTGCGGGATTTCTTACTCTTTCCAGCGCATCGCGGTCAACTACCCTATACACATCTCTCATATACATCTAGTTTCCAGGCCCCTTCGCCAGCTGCAAGGCGAACAATCCAAAACCAGAAACCGGGCCATTCATTTTGGCCAAATTCGATATAAGGTCGTCAGGCATCTTACAAATCTACCACAACATCCTCAGACACAAGAACGGCAACCATATTCCCCGGGTTCGAAATCACCCTCTTACTCGACCCTGTGACACACCAGCAGGTACCTGGGTCCTGCTGCCCCGTGCCTTCAAAATTCCACGTCAGCGCGACATCCGCGCGGTCCTGGTATTCGTTCATGGAGTTGCACAGGCCCAGACAGTCGGCAAAGCTGCGCTGCACCGTCGACGACAGGTCTTTTTTGTTGGTTGCGTGGATGTCGGCGCCGCAGAAAATGTAGTAGCTGGAGTCGGCCGAGTTGCCTACGTGCTGGATTTCGGTGTTATTTGCATTGGGACATGAGTATTCGTTCTTTTTGTAGTAGACGGATGTGGCGGTAGGAGAGGCGTTTGAGGTGCCTGATCTAGTGGACGTCACGGTAGGTGTCTCTGTCGGTGTTGTCGTGGACCTTGCAGAGGATGGTGATATTGATGTTAACGGCGACGATGTGTTGGACTCGGCTGATGAGAAATTCGAGCTGGAGGACCCTACAGTCTCTGTCAGCAGACGCTATACACACACAAAGCTCCAACATACTCGACAGACCGACGCCCAACCCAACAGCCAGGGCAACCACAACCACAACAATGCCCGCTTCTACCAGCGCGATGAATCTCCGCCGCCGACTCCGTGGTTCAGCGGGCGCCAAATTTGCATGAGGGGCAGCCTCGTAGCCAGGCTGAACGGGCTGTAGCCCAGGTTGAACATGTATCACCTCGGGGGCCTGGTGGACCACGGCCTCCTTATACGAGTCGCCCATGTCGTGGAGTCGTGGGTGGCAACTTCTAGAGGTCAGAGAAAAAGGAATCAAGGAGCTGCGGCTGCAATGGACCGCTGAAGAGATCATGTCTTTTTAGTGCTACCTGCTATCCCTGTAGATTGACCCCCCCCCCTTTAGCCGCCTAGGCCTCAGATGAGAGGCTTTTACTGGGCATGGCCGTCCCAGGCGCCTCCAGTCAGGGTCCGGTAGTTTAGGGGGACTTGGCGTGGGCGAAGCGCCGTGATGGTCTCCAATATACCAATAGAAAGAGCGTGAAGCCAGTCGACGAGCCAGTCGATGTCTCGCAGTCATCGATCATCATGCAAGGATCCAAAAAACCGGTGTGGAGCAATGATGAGGCCATATGCATTGGAGCTTACTGTAAGTGAGGTTGCACATTGTACCGTCCTCAGGATTACTGGAAGATGCTGATTGATAAGTATACTTATGATGCCACAGTCGGAGTGTCAAGCGCTCCACCTAGGACCAATCGTTCAAGAGAAGACCAGAACAAAGTTGACCAAGCACTTCTTGGAGGAAGACTAGTCTCGGCCAGACCCAGCTCAGCACATCGGTATTATGGAAATAATACCCAGGGATTGGAGAACATGGCAGACGAAATGTCCTTAGTCACTGCCTACAGATACAGCGGGCAAGCTGGGATATGAACAAATCTGCATTGCACTCCATAAGACCCAATCTACTCTATAACGAACGTAAACAACCTCTATATAGACCCCTCCATCAACGCCCACCTCACCATCTCCGCAATAGTATCACTCACCACTCCGGTCCGCGGAATCTCATGCCCACCGCCATGATCATACACCCTCCGACAGCCCTCCTCACAAACCCCTGACAACAACACCCCGGCTTCATACCGCGGATCCTTATTCCCATACACATGCACCGTCGGAATCCCAATCCGCACCGGCCCGCCACTCAGCTGCGCCCGCACCTCCCCCTCATCCACCGCACTGCTGCTCGCCATCCACCGCGCCGACCCCTTAGCCAGAATCGCCGCCGAGTCCGCCTGCTGGCTCAGCTTGGTCCGCGACGTGCGGTCCGCCGCCCACACCGACTCGGGGACGTCGTAGCCGACATGCTCGAGGACGGTAAGCGGCGGGCCGCCGCAGATGAAGATGCCCGCGCGGACGGGCGGCGGCAGCCCGTCGTGCTGCAGGAGGAGGAGCAGGCTGGCGCCAACGGCGCAACCCTGCGAGAACATCATCAGCGCATCGTAGGGTCCGTGCGTGGCGATGTGGCGGCGCACCCGGGCGACGGCGGCCTGTGTGCTTTCGAGCGTCTCCGTTTCGATGTGGCTGTAGTACGGGGGCGGGTAGAAGAGGTCGATGCCCGGGGCTGGGGTGCAGGGGTATTCGCCGTCGAGGAAGTCGAAGGTCAGGTTGAGGTCTGTTAGGCGGGAGCGGAAGGAGGCTGTGTTGGGGTTAGTGAGGGGGTGTGGTGGTGGTGGTAAGGGAGGGACTGACAGGTTTGCGATCTGAAGATCTCCCCGCTCGTGCCTTTGCCGTGGAGACAGAGGATTTTCATGGTTGATTGAGGGGAAGTACTCCGTAGGTGATAGGAATTGAAGAAATGAGAAAGTGAAGTTAAGTACGTGAGGGGTTGCGGATTAATTGCTGGATATAAGCTGACCGCTGGAGCCACCACGGCTGACTGCAGCGCAGCTAACTAATTAGTGTACGTACTCTGTGGACTGCACTATAGCAAGATTGTTATAACGACTAGATAATATCAAAGAGTGAATATAGTGGGTCCAGATCAAAACAGCAAGCAGGTGTGTTGAACACCCACGGCAAATGTCCTCGGTTGAACGTCAATCACCACTGCAACTACTTCATCTCCACGCTGGCGTTCGCACTCATCGACAGCGGCGTCATGGGGGCCAGACCAGCCCGCATCTCCGCGTCCTCCATCGTCAACATCGCATTCTTCCCGCTCGCAATGCCAAATCGCCGCTTAATGGCCTTCCACGTCTCGATCAAGACCAGGTACATCACCATACACGCGATGACAATCCCCCATTCCTCCTCGATCAGCGTGTGCTTGAACACAGCGTGGTTGATTACGGGGAGATAGATCACCGGAAACGCGATCACAAATCCCGCCACGACAGCCCAGAAAAGGAACCGGTTCTTCCAGATGGAGTGGAAGACGGATAGTTTACCCGGGTATTTGTCGGGGTCGAGATTGAACAACGATCGAGAGAAATGCTTGACTTCCCACGCCGTGATCAGCAAGAGAAAGGTCAGAGTGGCGTAGGTAGTTGCTCGCGCGCGGAACACTACCTCACAGTCGGCGAACCATCCTTCATTGCACTGAGTGCCCATATCGGACTGGCCGGAATGGATGCCGTACACCACGCTCGCGAAGGCGACCAGACACAGAGATCCCATGAATGTCCCGTATATCATCTTGTCCACGATAAGCTCGCGTGTGAACACGCCGACCTTGAGGTCATGCGGAGGGCGGTACATAATATCCGGCTGGGATTCTTCCAGTCCCAAGCCCAGCGCCAGAAATGAAGACGTGACGAGATTGGCCCAAAGAATCTCCAATGGCGACAACGGAAACACCGAGTTGCCTTCGCGATCTTTGAACGCGAGAGCGATCAACAGGAGAATCACCTGGGCGATATTTGAAATAAGGAGGTGCATCAGGAACTATGACCATTAGCACAACTTCTAGCACGATTATCAATCGCGAACCTTCTGGATATTATCGAATAAGCGTCTTCCTTCCTCGACAGCACTCACGATGGACGCAAAGTTATCGTCCGTCAGGACCATATCTGCGGCTTCTTTCGCCACATCGCTGCCATTCTTTCCCATCGCAATGCCCACATCGGCGCGTTTCAGAGCCGGAGAGTCATTGACCCCATCTCCAGTCATTACGCAAAACGCCTGGCGGCGGTGCATGGCTTCCACCATCCGAACCTTCGTAGTAGGACTGCACCGTGCGATGACCAGCGGTAGTTGCTCGATGGCATCAATCTCCGCGTCCGACATCCGGTCGAAGCTCTCGGCGGCCATCACCAACCGGCTGGCCTTTACGTTAGAAATTGGATCGAGAATACCAACTTCGGATGCAATGGCAGTTGCGGTTCGGATGTGGTCCCCGGTCAACATATGCACGGTAATGCCAGCCATCTGGCACTTTCGCACCGCGGCAGCCGTCTCGACGCGGGGAGGGTCGTATAACCCGACAAGACCGCCGAATTTCAAGCCCGATTCTGCCTTCTCTCGAGGGGACACCTGGTCTCCGTCGTCGATTGGTGTCATTTTGTAAGCGACGCAGAGAATCCGAAGACCTTCTCCAGCCATCCGGTCCGCGGTCTCCTGGATGTGAGCCTTAACCTCCTCTGAGACGTCGAGTCGAGGGATAATGGCTTCGGGGGCGCCCTTCATGTATGTCTCGTTGAGACCAGCTGCTGTATTTCGATACACTACTGACATCCTCTTTATGGAGGAGTCGAAAGGATATTCGACGTGGAGCTGAACTTTTCGCTCCTGGAGAATGTTCGATTTCCCCATGCCGAACCGCATTGCAAGAACATGGAGAGCGATCTCAGTCGGCTCGCCCACAGCCGCCCAGTTGCCTTCGATGACCCCTGTAGGGTTGTCACCGGAGGTAATGGACTGCGCGTCGTTTTGAACGACAGATAGATTGCACAATGCAATGGCCGTGAGGAAGGTATGTAGGGCTCGGTTCTCTTCGAGTCTGTTGGGCTTCCAGTCCACTTCATCGATTTGAACCACTCCACTCGTAGGATCATAGGGATTCATTGTTTGGTGGACTGTCAGGGTACCGACGTCAGGGATCCAGGCAGTACGTGCGATCATTTTGCCTTGAGTAAGCGTGCCTGTCTTGTCAGAGCAGATGTTGGTGACTCCTCCAACAGCCTCTAAGCACTGTAGTTTCCGCACAATAACGTTCCGTTTGGCCATGGATTTCGTGCCGACGGCTACAGTGATCGTCAGGACGGCGATCAATGATTCGGGGATAACCGCCACGGCCACACAGATTCCGTAGATGAGCACCTCGCCTTGGACGTCCCATTTACTAGCGGAGAACACGATGATAGCAAGCAGGATCGCGAGTGCAAAGAGGAGCAGTGCAAACTTGCTTAACTTCACTTGCAATGGCGTTCCCACCAATCCCAACACCTGCTTACCAGACGAGATAGAGTGCTGCAGGAAACGGGTGACCGGGTTGGAGCTAATGCTATCCCCGGTGTCCTGAAGAAGCTGTGCAATCTTCCCAACTTCCGTCGTCATCCCTGTTGCGGTGACGATCCCGGTCGCTCTGCCCTGGGTAGTGCTACAGCCGGAATATGCCATATTCGTGCGATCGCCTATAGGCATGTCCAGCGAAGACATGGTGACGTGGGGTGTCTTTGTTACCGGCAGGGATTCGCCGGTCAAGAGTGCTTCGTCCATCGAGATGTTCATGCCATCTATCAGTCGCAGGTCAGCCGGAACGATGTCGCCCACGGCGAGTTGCACGATATCTCCGATCACAAGAGTTTCAGCTTTCACAGAAACCACATGGCCGTCTCGCAGCACTTTACACACAGGTGCAGTCAACCTGTGCAGCGACATGATCGTCTTTTCGGCACGATAGTCCTGGACGAACCTATCATGAAGAATTAGATAGGTCGAAAATATGTTGGATTGGTCCTTACCCAACGATGATATTGAGGAGGATGACGGCGGTGATCACTCCTCCCTCAATGTAATCATGGATGCCAAATGACAACGCCATGGTTATGACAAGAACCTACATACTAGGGTTAACATGGAGGAATGAATATCACTGTGGAGGGAGGTGCATCAGGGGTAAGTAGCATACTAAGGTCAGGCTGTTGGAAACTTGCCTCAGCAGTATTTTCCATACCGATATGCCCTCCATCTCCTTGACCCGGTTCGCTCCATGCAGAGCGAGACGAGTGGCGGCTTCGGGAGTCGACAAGCCATGGCTTTGGTTGATTAGCCACACAAACAGAAAGAAGTATAGGTGCTCAAGGTGAAATGAACGTACTCGATGTCAACTCCCAGAAGGGTAGCCAGCTGTGCGGAATCAAAGGTGTGAGCATGGTGGGATACAGTCCCGATATCATGCTGGGGAAATTCTCCTGGATAGCCCTGACGGTCGAACTTGGGTTTCGCTGAAAGAGATAACTCTCCGGTCTTTTCGGGGTCGTGATGTAAATTTACATCCCCGGGTTTAATCTGTTGTGAATGCTGTTCCTCCGTAGAAGCACATATAGGAGGTTCCGTCGATTCCTCGACATCAAGGGGAGAAATGTCTGTGCCCATTCAATTAAGAGTTGGAAGAAGCGGAGAAGGCGATGAGGTAATGACCTTGAGGTTCCAGAAGCCAGAGGTCCTACCACAAAGGTATCTACAGGTAATAGAATAGTGAGGTTGAAGTTAGTGCGTACCTCGTGGACAGATCTGATACTTATAGTGACCCCGAACATCACGTCCGGGGCATCACGTCAAGACCCATCGGCACAGCGTGAGGGGCTGCCATGGCTGCGCTATTCTCAAGGCCGCATATAATTGGGGTTCCGGATCGTTATCTTGGCCGATTTCATTGCACCACCAGGATTTCGGTCACCGGGAAACGTGACTCGTGAAAGGATGTCCCAAAGTCGAGGCCACTAGTGGCTTGGGACGGGGGCCGGGCTGCTCGGATTGGCGCGATGAAGTCCGGGGAATGGCTAGGCGGAGATGGTACTTGTGTACGCTGAAAGTGTATCCTTGTTGTAGTCCATGTTGGCATCCACCTGAATGACCTAGCCTCGATCTGATTAGTCTTCCGCATCTGACTGTGCCCATCGTGGCCATCCTTGTTGTCGTTCGGTAGTTGCAGGCATTCTTCCTCCCCCACTCGCTCTCGGCAACGTGGCTGTGCGTCTTGGGCTTGTCCATGAAGCGGTAGGGAGACGCATGTTTTTGCCGGTTGTATTGAAAGTCTCGTGCTTTAGGAAGGGCGGTTGGTGAGCTGTTACCCGGATTCTTCCTATTTGCATATGCAGGGCCTTACTTCGGTGCTGTTATATATCATTCGTAACAATGCGCATGCGTACACATGAGAGTCCGACGACAGCTATTGATTCACTGACCGGATTTTATGTGCTTCTTCTGTGGAAAGCTACTCCGGTTCGTATTCCTTTTCACAATCTGGCCGTGGAGGTGCCTCACATGAGACAGGTGCGTTCTAGGCATGTAGAACGGCCCGACGTGGACAACGCGACAAACAGGTTATGCATGTGGTCGTGGTGGGGATTATGAACGAGATGAATTATCAGATGATCAAAGAATGTACCAATTGCTGGTCTCTCCAGACTAAAGTCGACCAGAGGGACATGGAGAGAGAGAGAGAGAGAGCTGGAGAGGAAGTAGAATGCGGAGACGGTGTACCTCTGGTGACCGCCAATCAGCGGGAAGCCCGCACAGGACCGCTTCCGCCAAAAATCTCAGCTTCATCAACATTCTCCTTCAGTTTCTCTCTGTCACCCGATCGCAATTCTGCCCAACTCCCTGTTCCATTCCTCATCCGCTTCCTTTACGGGATCCTAACTACTGGTCCTTCATACTCTCTCCTCCACTACCAGTCCACTCCCGTGCAACGATGGTGGCACCGACTGCCTCTCTCACTCCCCTCTCCCGTGCCGACGGTTCGGCCTCGTACCAGTGCCCCGCGACCGGTGCTAATATCCTGGGGTCGGTAAATGCACCGGTTGAGCTTCCGGGTCGCCGAGATGCTCTGAAACCCGAAGAAGCTACCGTGGAGGTTTTCGTGAAGCCGGGTACGGCACCGGGCGGGGTGGGCGAGCGCTATGTTGAGGGGATCATCAAAACCATGTTGGGACGGGTGATCCTGGGTCGTGAGAAGGGTTACGCGAGACGGGGCGTTGTCCTCACGCTGGCGATAGTGGGAGGAGATAGCGTGGGAAGGGGTGATTCGGTGAGTGGTTTTCGTCCCCTGCTGGATGTCCGTAGCTGACTGAGTTTTCTTTCATAGTATTTGACATTGCTCCCGGCCCTATTGCAAACGTCCCTCCTCGCCCTTCTGTCGGCCGCAGTTCCGTTGTCGATGACATTTTCTGCAACAGTTCTCGGAGTGAACCCGTCCGGCGACCTGATTCGTGACCCGTCGGTGAAGGAAGCGGCTGTCGCAACCTCCCTACATGCCCTTGCCTTCACGTCGAAAGGGCATTTGCTGTTGAACGAGAGTCAGGGCGCGTTCGATTTTGACACGTGGGAACGGGTGCGCCGGCGTGCGGCAGCCATCTGCCACGGAACTATGGCGACCACCGATGGAGATGTTGCAATGGTCGAGGACGTGGATGGACAGCCTCTGGAAGGCACTGTACGGGAGCTGGTGGAGGAGAAGTTCCATCAAGACTACGCCTGGAAGATCGACGCGGCATGATCGTCATTAATACTACGGCGAACGGTGCGACAACCCGCTGGAGTCGAGTCAATGTTCCACGGCCGGACGCGAACCATTTGGATTATGACATCCTGCAGCCGATTTTCACTCGGATACGCTCAGTGCCTACCGATGGAGCCCTTCGGAGCATGGGATGTCATGGCGCAGGAGTCACGAGAAGTCTCCGACATCTAGCAGGCAATCAGCGTGCGTACGGACTATCCGGGCTGCTTATGGGCTCTGCGATTTTCTTTTTTAGAGCGGACTGCATGAGACCGAGCGTACAAAACCAAGGACAGAGCGGGGATCAATCTGACATGGATGCGCCCGGTCCGATATGAAGGAGTTTATCCGTCCAACCGGGTCATCTATCGGCTGCAGGAAAAGCATGCGGTTGATCTTAGGGGATTTCTGCGAAGAGAACAAACACACACAGGGGAGGCGAAGGGCAAGAGAAAAAAAGAAACGATACAGACAAACATACAATCGAGGACAATCGGCCGCCACTGGGAGAGGGTGATCAACGTGGCTTGAGACAATCGAGGTTCCTTGCAGCAGGAGATGGTGATGCTGAAGAATAGTAGGTTCGGATTAATTTCACGGCGACGAGGTTGCCTAATTTTTCAGTGCATTTCCATTATCCTAGAAATAGTATCCAGACATGTAGAAGTGGAGTGAATGTAGAGAAACACGCAGTGTTCCAAATGAGGAAATGTAGAATCGAATCCTCTCGAACAACAATAATGAAACTAATCAACAATTAACTGCCGGCCAAATGCCTCGTTACATCCGAGTTCGGCTGTGGGTAAGACGGAGTTAAAGGAATTAATGGATCGTCCTTCCCCACTGTTCCCCTTCTTCTTCTTCTCCCTCCTCGTATAACTTATTCTGCTTCTGCGTCTGCCATCATCATCACCACCTCGAAACAGCCACGCTGTCCATGGCTTCATCCCACGCCACGCCGGGCTCCGTGCAACGTTCATCCATCAGCGCCATTACGATAGAGCCCTCTGCCTCTGCCTCTGATCCACTGTCGACCTCGACCACAACGCCTCTGTCACCTCTGTCAGCGTCATCATCATCGGTCTCGCCGTCCTCCGGGGCCCCACTATCAGATCCGCCTCTTGCGCTGCTTCCATCTCCCTCCGCCTCCACCTCCACGTCCACTTCTTTCCCTTCCCCTTCTTCCTCCTCGTCTACCGTCGGAACTGCCCTGCTTCGCGACTATGCCAGTCATATA